GTGTGTGTGTGTGTGTGTGTGTGTGTGTGTGTGTGTGTGTGTGTGTGTTTTCTGCAGGGTGAGTGATGAGAAGGATGCTCGGGGCTACCTGCAGGCTCTGGCCACTAAGATGACAGAAGAGCTGGAGGGACTGAGAAACACCAGCCTGGGAGCGAGAGCCACGGTGACATACACACACACACACACACTCTCTGCCTCAAACTACGGTAGAGGCTGTTAAGTCAAATGAAAAATCCTCTATTATTTAGATGCAGGCTGTAATTAAGATAGAGATGATGAATGTCCTCCTCCTGTACTCCTCCTCTCTCACTTCTCCTTCCATCTTTTACCGTTTTTTGTTTCATTTACTAACTTTCTTTCCTCTGTGTTCCAGGACATGCCGTGGAAGATGCGGCGCTTCGCCAAGCTGGACATGTCGGCCCGTCTGGAGCTGCAGTCTGCCTTAGACGCTGAGATTAGAGCCAAGCAGGGCATCCAGGATGAGTTGAACAAGGTCAAGGCCAACAACATGTCCACAGAATGGTACGGATACTTTGTAACATCAGTGAAAACATGAATTATTCAAAAACAAATTCACTGAAAAACATTAGTTTTGTTGTTTGTTTCTTAAAGAAAAAAATCTTTGAAAGTCTGGATAGTATGTGACTCATCGTTGTCTGTGAACCACCAGTAAACTGCAGGATGTGGAGAGTAAGAACCAGGAGCTGCTGGCCGAGATCGACAGGCTGAAGAAGGAGACGGAAGAGCTGCGGCTACGAAGAGGTACGACTGAAAATATATCAAACGACCTCCGTTTTCTTGTCACCATAATGCACAAAGAATGACGTGGCAAATGTGTTGATGTATATATTTATAATTTCTACTTATATTAAAGTGCTAATGGCCCATTGATGCAGACAAAAACATACCCTTGCTATTGTTATAATACATTTTTCAAATACAGTGGTCTTTGAAAATACATGGGAGGATACGTTATATTGACGTCCCGATGGTTGAATGGACACGGCACACTGAAACTTTTCGTGAGAGATTCTCTGTAAAAGGAGGGATAACTACACCAGGGACCCAAATTAGAGGGTTTTGCGTCAGCAGCCCTATTTTAGAAATACAACCATGTGCTATATACATGAAATGTATTGTTACTAAGGTCATATGAAACACCCCCCATGTCTGAGAAATGGTCCTGTGACTCATTTTGTTTAAGTCACCCTTTGATGTCTTAATATCACTACTTAATCACCACGATTGTGTTATTTGTTCTGTGTCTGTAGGTGTCAAGCACCAGGATTCCCAGAATTCCTTCTTGGCTTTTCTCAACGCCCCCACGTCAGCGCTAGACCAGTTTGATGTAAGTATTCAGGACAAAAAATCTGAACAGAGGCTGATATGTGATCAACCCTAAATCTGTCTGCAATTAAAGATTTGAAATCTATGCTCATAAACAACCTCAAAATCATAAGTCTGCAGTAAATAAAATTATATCTGTGCTTTTTCTTCATGCTTTTATGTTGGTTTCTTTGTTCACATACATTTCTTGAGATCTTTATTTTTGTTCTATCCTTTTGGTTGTTTCCTTGCTTCATTCTCTGGTACATCAGGACTCTTATTCCTCATCCTCATCTTCTTTAATTGAGTTTTGGGAAGACGTAAGTTTCTCTTGATTAGGCAGAGGTCTGTGTGTGTGTGTGTAGCAGTAGCTGTATGCTGTAGGACTCTGAGTATTTTATTAGCAGAGAAAGACGAAAGACAGGATAGATCTGTCTCCATATTGCGTCTTGTGAGTTTGTGCCTGTGCATCAGTGTAACTGAGAGAAGAACCACTGCAAAAACTGTCAGTCCTTTCATTTTAACAAGGTCTAAATCTTATTTTTTTACTACAAGTACAAAATACATGCAATGAGATTAATTAATGTGCTTCTAATTCACATTAATTAATTTGCTTCTAGTGCATATACTTGTTAAGATTGTGTTGTTTTTTTTGCAGTCTGCTGCCATTTTATTCTGTTGCTTGCTAGTTCTTTTAGGCCAGTGGGCTAGTTGAATGGCTTTGTATTAGCTTTCTGGTGCTAGAACAGAACCACTACGTACATTTTCTAAATCCCCTTTCCTCTATTGTTTTATCATTTTTGTAGCCAGAAAGAGAACTTGAGTTGTCGCTGTGCTCCATGTTTGCTTTTCCAGCTCACTTCCCATCACCATGTGTATTTTTTCCATTTGCACCCATCCACCCTTTCCAGCCTCTGTCCTCATCTCAACTCTGGTGGACATACAGTAGTCTAACGCAGTGATTCCTAACTTGGGGAACTGTTTCCCAGGTTGTACTTGAGCAATTGCCAGGGAGCATGTTGAAAGCTCAACTAATTAACTCATCTGAACTAAACTAAGTCAACTACAATATATAGAAATTGTGATTTAATTGAAGAAATGCATCTACAATTTTTGTTGTGGAGACAAATAAACAAAAAATATCACAAACTAGTGTGGTCTTAAGTTAATTTGATATAGCAAGTAAGCTGCCAATCAATCTGAGTCAGATAAATGGTTGAAATAGTTAGCTAACAGTAATGCATAAATGGGTGCAATAGTTAGCTAAAAGTAATGCATAAGTGGTTGAAATAGTTAGCTAAATGTAATGGATAAATGGGTGAAATAGTTAGCTAAAAGTAATGCATCAATGGGTGAAATAGTTAGCTAAAAGTAATGCATCAATGGGTGAAATAGTTGGCTAAAAGTAATGGATAAATGGTTGAAATAGTTAGCTAAATGTAATGGATAAATGGGTGAAATAGTTAGCTAAATGTAATGGATAAATGGGTGAAATAGTTAGCTAAATGTAATGGATAAATGGGTGAAATAGTTAGCTAAAAGTAATGGATAAACGGCTGTGTTGGTTATAAAACAAGAGGTCGGAAACCACTGAACTGATGTAATACAGGCTTATATTACCATTTTCATGTTTCTCCCTCAGTCTGTTTAACTGTGTTTTCAGCTCTGTTAGACAGCCTTTCTGATATTCGCTCATCTCTCTATCTCTGCCACTCTCTGCCTCTCCTGCCACTGAAGCGCTCGCCATCCGTTGGCCCATCTAGCAAAGGCAGACGCGTAAGCACCATCACTGCGCTCTGTGATTTCATTGAGCCCTTCTAAATGTGCTGTCTCGTCACATTGATGTTTGATTTGTGTGTGGATCTCCTGTGTATGTTTACTGTGGCTGTCTGATTGCATGGCATGGGTTCTGAGAAATATATTTTGACATTTGTGTGTGTGGCAAATGTGTCTGATATTCTTTGTTTTATTTGGGTATTCCTTTTTGTGCTGCCTGTGTGCATTGGTGTTTATGAATGGCCATGCATGGTGTATGGCGTATGCTTGTGGTGTCTCAAATTAGCATGGTCCCTGGGCTGTGATGTGTTCCCGTGTGGTACAATACATGGGGTACAATAAAGTTGTGGTGGTTTTCCTTTGTGGCTTTTAAAGTCCAGTGACTATGACGACATATATTGACAATATTTGTGTATACTGTCTCCCATTTGTGTATCATGGCACCCGCTACTTCTCTCTAAGTTTGAATGCATCATATTGTTCTTTGGTTTGTTTTGTTAAATTAAAACTCTCCTTTCCATCTCTCTCTTTTTGTCCTTCTTTTCTCACTTATCCTTTCTCACTTTTCCCCTGTGTCCTCTCCTGCTCCTCCATCTTGCCTCTCTCTCTCCTCAGGTGGACTCTATTGATAACTTCACCCCCTCCAACACTCCATCCAGGGAAGATGACCCCAAGTCCCACCTTAAGTCCCGCTCGCGGTCACCCTCCATGGCTAGTGATATGGAGCCCATAGAGGTCAGACAATCCCCAAGTCTGTTATTGTAACGAGGCTGGTATCCTACCAGCAACATAGATGTAGAAGATGTCTGAGTACAAGAGGACTTTATATCGGGTGTAATTCCCTATCCTATCCTATCCCCAGTTAGGTCTGATTTAGAAGATGTGCATTGGAATAATGAAGATTATGAGACTGGTATAGTTCTGATGGCAGATCTGTATGTCTGGCATGTGGAGGAAGAAAAAAAAATTCGTCCAAATATCCTTCATACCAACTCAAGCAGCTGAAACTGACTCAGCATCTCACAATACCACATTTGTCAAATAGGTCAGCCCATGTGAATTGCAAGTAACTCAATTATAGAGAAATGTGAGCCGTGCATTGAAAAGGAGGAGAACATTGAGGCCAGCAGTAGACTTCAGTCTGTAGACTTCAGTGTCCTAATTGGGACTCGTGGTGCATGTAGGAGCAGATATATGACTTGCAAGTTCCTCAAATTAAAAAAGTATTAATGGAGTCAACCTAAAGCTAGTTGAACTGTATGGATGTGAACAGAGAATATGCATCATTGCTAATATTCTGCTAATAGAAGCCTGTTGGAAACTGAAGAGAACTTTTGATCTCCAAATCCGTGCACCGTGGCGCTCAATTTGAAATACTGCGTTTGTTCAATTTATTGCCAGCTCTAACTCCATCCTTAGCTCTGACTTCACAGAAGGTCTTGTTCTAGCATTTTGTTTCTTGGGAAGCTTTGGCCTAGAAGACCAGTAATCACGTTTAATGTACATTGATCACAAACACAGCGTCTCACTGCTGCGTGTTTTTGTGTGTTCTATGGTGCAGTTGATAGACCATCCTCCTCGCACAGTCCAGACCCCCACCGTGCGCTCAGGAGGGTACGGCAGCATTGGACGCTCCTCTCCCAAGGTCAGACATTCTTCTGTAGGCTCACACTTCATTGTTGAACTTTGCCACAACAGACTTCATGTGTTGTTAATAACCACTGATTGTGTCTCTCTTGCTCGATCATTTCTTCATGCACTCCACAGCCCAAAGCACATCAGTTTGTGGTGAAGTCATTCAGCACTCCCACTAAGTGTAACCAGTGCACTTCCCTCATGGTGGGGCTCATACGTCAAGGCTGCACCTGTGAAGGTAAGGACAGGAATATCGAAACTGTGATTTAAACTGTTCTGCCAACTCTGATTTAACCCGCAGACACCATTAAATCTCTATAACACACCCAAAACCTGCATAATATATTGCCTCAATGATCCCAGTTTATATTATTCTCATCTTAAAGTTCAACTAATTCCCAATTTAAAGATTAAAACTACAAAGCTAGCTCGCCTTTTTCCATTGATTTTAAAATCTGATGCATGACCAGTTAAACACCTCATTCGTCCTCATCTTGTCTCCGTCTCTCTCCTTGTCCAGTGTGTAACTTCTCCTGCCATGTAACCTGTGCGGACAAGGCTCCGGCTGTGTGTCCCGTTCCCCAGGACCAGACCAAGGGCCCGCTGGGTATCGACCCTCAGAGGGGTATTGGTACTGCGTACGAAGGACACGTCAGGGTGAGTCAGGCCCTGGTTGTCTATGCCTTCAGATAGTTACTTCAAGATTGAACATTCAGTCTCCCTGCTTTCTTCCCAAATCCACACAAACGTTAACACGAGCTGTAGGTTTTGGTTACACTTGGATTTGAGGTGTCTTACAGTACCATGACGGCTCACACTTGAGTGCAGATGCCCCAAGTGGGAATTCAATCTGAATTGTCACCTTTGCATTTCTAACACTGTAGAAGGTATTTTTGCTACGAGCTTCGGTGTAGGTCCATGTTGTTTCACTTACCCATGTCTCTGTGTCTGTCCTAGGTGCCCAAACCAACAGGAGTGAAGAAAGGTTGGCAGAGAGCGATGGCTGTGGTGTGTGACTTCAAACTGTTCCTCTACGAACTGGGAGAAGGAAAAGCCACGCAACCAAGTGTAGTAGTCAGCCAAGTCATAGATATGAGGTAGGAGAAGTGTGGAAACTCTTCTTAGTCATTAATGAATACTCTATTCTGTCCTACATAGTTTGGTGGTTTGGTTTAGCTGATAAATGTGACACAGACAAAAAGCAAATAGTCACATTTCAGAAGCTGAAACTAGAAGATGTTCGAAATTTTTGCTAGAAAAATGACTCAATAGATGATCAAATAGTTGCAGATTCATTTTCTGTCGAATCATTTAATGTATTAATAATCTCTATAAACATATCTTTATCTGCATCTGAATCTGTACACAAGATTTTGGTTTTGGAAGCGTTCTGGTTTCTGTTTGCATTCCATTTGTAGTCTGAGTAGTATCGACCAATCACGTTTGAGCGGCTTTGGTTGAATGCAGGTAAACATCTGTGAGGAGAGTTAAAGAGGCAGACCGCACTGGCCGAAATGCAATCTAGGGACACTGGCTATCGTCTGACGATGATTTAGCATTTTATTAACTAAAACATTATCTGCATTGAAACATGAAACAATCGGGTCGTCTCTCAACTCCAACTTCATTTTCGCATCTTCATCTTCATCGTGCAAGGGGAATAAATTCTGAGGCGGATAACTGCTGGCTTCACCGGAACCACAGATATATTCTCCATTGCCCCCAGAGGCTTTAATTGTCATGAAATGGATGGGCTATGGATTCTGAGGTTGTAGAATATTCGACCAATCGTGGCAGCTCTAGGTCCTGGATGTCTAACCTTCGATCTCATTCCTGTCATCCAGGGATGAAGAGTTTTCAGTCAGTTCTGTCCTGGCCTCTGATGTCATCCACGCCAGCCGCAAAGATATCCCTTGTATATTCAGAGTAAGTTTTCTTTATTGTTTTGTTTTTAGCAACCTAAAGTTTCCAAATGACCTGAATCCCACGAAATTCTGAAATACTATTCAACACGTGATGTGACCTTTCACCTCTTCTCTCCTCAGGTGACAGCGTCCCAGCTCTCCCACTCCAGCAACCACAAGCCCTCCATCCTGATCCTGGCAGACAGCGATCAGGAGAGGAACAAATGGGTGGGCCTCCTCAACGAGCTCCACCGCATCCTCAAGAAGAACAAGCTCAAGGAGCGCTTCGTCTACGTCCCCAAGGAGGCTTACGACAGCACCCTGCCGCTCATCAAGACAACACAGTCTGCTGCTATCATTGGTGGGCCTTCAACACTCACAGTACTACAAGAAAACATGATACGTCCCTGCTGATCAGGATCCCAGATGTACATTCTGTCTGGTTTCTATGCAGTAATTATCTCAACAATAGACGGCTCTGTCTTTGTGTGTTTGCAGCCGGGTGTAGTTGTTCCAGGTACAGCTGTTTTCTTTACAGAGAACCAATTAGTTTCCTGTTGCGTTTGGTTTTCATCGTGTTGTGAAAATAGAAACTAGCAGATTGGAACCTTTTCTGTCTCCGTACTGGCACTGAAATGGACGCCTGCTTCATTTGCTTTGCCCTCAGATCACGAGCGTGTCGCTCTGGGCAACGAGGAAGGCCTTTTCGTCATCCATGTCACCAAAGATGGTAAGATCCACTCTCGAGGATCTGTTCTGTGTCCTTGTTCACTTGTTTTGTTCCCTTCCCCCTCTTGCGGTTGTAAATGTGCTACTGTGTGTTCTTGTTACTCCTTTCTCTCCCTCCTTTGTCCTCACTTCTTTATTCACTCCGTCCTCAGAAATAATCCGGGTGGGGGACAACAAGAAGGTGCACCACATCGACCTGATTCTCCAGGAGCAGCTGCTGGCGGTCATCTCCGGCAGGAACCGCCACGTCCGTCTCTTCCCCACGCAGGCCTTGGACGGCCGTGAGACCGAGTCCTACAAGCTGGCTGAGACAAAAGGCTGCCAGACCGTTGTCTCCGGCCCCGTCCGCAACGGCTCGCTCACCTGCCTGTGCGTGGCCATGAAGAGACAAATCATATGCTACGAGGTCAGAACACACAGACCGGCTTCTCTGAATAATTAATAATGAATTAATCATTTCTTTCTCGCTAACTTGAGTGCTGTGTTATTTAGCTTTTTGTTTATCTAATTGATATCACTTTCTGCTGTAAAATCTCCAGGTGAATAAGAGTAAAGGACGTCACCGTCGACTACGAGAGGTGCAGGCCCCGGGGCCCGTTCAGTGGATGGGTCTGCTCACCGAGCGTCTCTATGTGGGCTACCAGTCTGGCTTCACCCGCTACAGGTACTCTACCTGCTCACGGACTGATCTAGATACAGTGGAGATGCTATTTTAATGGTTCTAATGTCTGTTTCTGTTGTTACCATATGTTACGGTTTGTTTATTTCTTATCATTTACCCTGCTGAAATAATGGACAGAGATGTGGACTAGAGTCACTTAATAAGGTCTCCACTTGATTTGAACTGATTGACTGAAAAAATGACTTTGCAGTTGCTGAAGACTTGGACCAAATGATTTGAATCACATGTCTGATATATCAACTAAATTATCTTGGTGAATCTGACTCTGATGACCTCCACAGTGTCCATGGTGACATGTCCCCTGTCAACCTGCTCCACCACGAGGACCACACCCTGGCCTTCATCCCCCAGCAGAACCTGGAGGCCCTCTGTGCTGTGGAGATCTCCAGCAAGGAGCTGCTGCTGTGCTTCAGCGCCATCGGCGTATACGTGGACTCCCAGGGCCGCAGGTCACGTCAGCAGGAGCTGATGTGGCCAGCTGTTCCCAACTCTGCCTGTGAGTGCAGGGAATCCTGTTCAGTCACATGGTGATGAAATGAAGAGGCAGATTTCTGAACAAAATTACTTTTCCTTTTGTCCAGGCTACAACGCCCCCTACCTGTCAGTGTACAGCGAGAACGCCGTCGATGTGTTTGATGTCAACACCATGGAGTGGATTCAGACCATCCCTCTCAAGAAGGTCAGTGCTGTGGACGTTGTTCTGTTGTGAATATGACACGACTAAAGCAGGGGGCAGCCTCCAGGTCTGAAAAGTGAAGCCAATGCTTCATGCCTTAAACCTGCATTCTCTCTAATGTCAACCAGGGGGCGACTCCTCTGGTTGTAGAAGTCTATGAGAAAATGACTCTACTTCTCTCTTGATTTATTACCTCAGTAAACATTGTAAACATGAGTTTATGGTCTCAATCTCTAGTTTCAAGTCTTCTTCAATACAGCATGATGTTCATTTAGTAAATGATGGTCCATTTAGAGTCAAACAGACCATAAAGCAGGGGATGCTTTAGATATTGGTCGTCTCTAAATGTCTTATTCAGCATTGGGTTGTACTTAGCTTCACTCTCTCGTGTCACTTCTGCTTACAGAAACACAAAATGGTGACGGCTCAAATGTAAAACTCATTGTTTCTAAACCGTAGATGTCTCGGTGACTTTGTCCACGTCTTCTATAGTCTATCTATGGTGTTGAGTCCCCCAGACACCTGGATGCATCTCTGGCTCCACCTGGTGGATTAGATGAATGAATCCTATTTGCCTCTTTCACCATAGCAACCAGACTTATTCTTCTGATTGCCACCCCGCCATATTGATAGATGAAATAACTCCAGATTTTACTTCAGATTTGTGATTACTGATCAGAAATCCGTTTTGCTTAATGATAGATGTCTCTACTTCCCCTTCAGGTGCGCCCCCTGAACGTTGACGGCTCTCTGAACCTGCTGGGACTGGAAACAGTCCGGCTCATCTACTTTAGAAACAAGATGGCCGGTAAGAACACCACGCGGCTAAAAACTACAAAAATGTCAAGGATGACAGAGTCCATTCTGAAAGATGTATTCCATTGTAAAGTCGAGGGTGTTTAGCTCCAGCAGGAGATGTAGCTGCAGTTGTCACTGCAGGCCTTGGAATGGATGGGCTCTTATTTGCTCACTGTTTAACCCTTCATCTGCTCCTTACATAACATGTTCTGTACAACAAAAGCAGCTTGAGTAACAGCAGAAGGTTTGACTTGCCACTCTAAATCACCAAAGCACATTTGCATCGCTTTGTAGTCGTTCACGTAAACATGCCTGCGGCTTTGTTGCGCTCTTCCAGAGGGCGATGAGCTGGTCGTCCCGGAGACGTCAGACAACAGCAGGAAGCAGATGGTGCGCAGCATGAACAACAAGAGACGCTTCTCCTTCAGGGTGCCGGAGGAAGAGCGGCTTCAGCAGAGGAGGTCGGTACCTGCAGGACGAGGCACATTTATACTTGCTCTGCATCACCCGAGATTTGTCTCTGCTTTTGCAATCCTGTCACCAGTTTAAGCCTCAGCTTCTTGTGCAGCCTGTGTGTTGCCATGTAGAAGTTAATAAGCTTCTTATTGCATATCCATGGACCAGTTGGTAACAGCACTGGTACCACTGATTTCATCATCACTATGTTTTAAGACTGGAGGAAAGCTAATGAAATGCAAACGTTGTCAGTAGAAACGAATCACTTTCAACACTTAAGTCATCAAATACACTTGCTTGTACAGCTGCCTTCTCGTTGAAGAGCATGCAGGGGAACCAAAACCAATATTACATGTTGTAGATATTCGACAGCAGTAAAAACGACTTATCTTCTCTTTGTGTTTGTGTTTCCAGAGAGATGCTGCGAGATCCAGAGATGAGGAACAAGCTGATCTCTAACCCCACCAACTTCAACCACGTGGCCCACATGGGACCAGGAGATGGGATCCAGATCCTTAAAGACTTACCCATGGTACACTCACACATACATTTATATACATGCATACACACACACACACTTGCATAAGTACATACAGGTGCACACACACTGTTCTTAAAGACTTGTTTAGGAAGACTGGAGCACACAAACATAGAGGTACATATTCAAACAGACACACTGGGACTGTTTGAATTGTGTGTGTTTGTAGACCGGCTTTTGTAGACCCCACCACCACCACCCTGCAGCATGTCAACAATTGAGCAGAGTCTCAGTTTCCAAATGATTCCCTGTTTTGTGAACGAACCTGAAAAGCTTGGTTGAGTCACACGATGAGCCTCCTCCCCCTCAAATGTTCCTCTCATGCTGCTCCTCCTGACCGGCTGTGCGTTAACGGAGACCATGCATGTGCCTCTCTGCTCAAACCTCAGTGGCCAATCACCCGCGGCGCCACCTTTGTGTTCAGCTGTAGAGCATGTCGTCCATCCACGCTCCTCACTCCTGTCCCCTGCACTGCACTCTGTGTTGTGTGTGTGTGTTTGCTCTGTGCGTGTTTAAACCAGAACGTTCGTGTTCAGGAGAGCCGCGCGGGCTTCAGCGGTTCGGTCAGCATCCCCTCCATCACCAAGAACCGCGGCGAGCCAGGCCGCTCCATGAGCGCCAGCAGCGGACTGGGCATACGTGAGTAACCACAGGACCCCATCGCTCCTCGTAGAACCAGAGTCACTTCAGTAACTTCCATCCCCCGCGGCATGAATTTCTTTCTCAAGTATTCTTCCGTCCGTCCTCTCCGTCCAGGCTCGTCCTCCCAGAACGGCAGCGCCCTGCGCAGAGAGCTATCCAGCGGAAGCTACGGATCCAAACGGCAGACCATGACCTCTCCCTCTGAGAGCTCGCTGTCCTCTGGCGGAGGCATGGACTGTGGTGACGCTCCACTCTCCCAGTTTGACAGAGAGGTCCGTAAATACACCGTCACTGTACACATCACAAGAGTCTATGTGAAACACTGTCTTTAAAGAGAGTTTGTTACGGATGGCCGTCATCCAAATGCACATCATGATTGTAGAAGCTAGACGTTATCAAGTGTTTGAAGAAGTGATCCCATTGTTCCCCATTGAAAGAACTCCTCCCTGTCCCATCCGTCACAAACATCCCGGCCTCTGGGCGCAGGCCTCTCACCTCATCCACCTCTCTGACCCACTGGTTGGCTCCCTTCTCTCCCTGTATAGCCTCTCAATGGTACCTGCTTTAGCTCGGGCTAGTTGTTGCCTCAAACGACTGAATTGAACTACTGTTGATTAACAGTTTGAACCCATCTTTAACACCTGAGATGTAAGTGGAGTCAGACAGAGGTGGCGTTTCGTCAATCATCCTCCCCTATGTTGCTTCCTGTTCACGTAGCACCATCGGTTTTATACATTTCCTTACAAATACAATGGATCAAACGATAAATACATCAGCTCTTGCGGCAACTTCTACCTCCCGCCCACCCATCCACCCAGACCGCCTGCCATCCTCCCCGTGACCCCCCTTCCCCCATCAGCTCCATTGTTGGCCCATCCCACTCAGCTGTGCCTCGCCCCCCCCTCTCCCGCCCCAGCATGTTGTCTGTGGGCCGGGCGCTGAGTTCTGAACTCTCCTCTGCAGTGGCAGGCAGTCTCACCGTCGGAGAAGACCCCCGATCTGAAAAGGGCTTTAAGGACCCTGCTTAGTAAGATGAAGGTAATGTCAACAGCTGCCACGGCTGCACCCAAACACACAACGGCGAGCACGAAGAACACACTGTGTCATTTTCAATATCTGTCAAACAAACACATCAGCACGAGGTGCGTTTGAAGCTGTAGTCACATGTTAGCCAAGCCTCCGCCCTGCCACGGCTCTCGCTGCTCCATTTCAGCCCCGTCACCTCAGCAGCATCTGTTTCACCACAGCATCAGTCTGCCCTCGCCTGGCCTGTGTCATGTGTCCCTTTTCTGATTTGAATAGGCTGCTGCTTCTGAACACGTCGTCCCACAATCACAGAGCATGTCTGCTTCCACTCAGCCCCATAACCAAGAGCAGTCCGGCTCAGAGCACAACTAGGCCAGACGGATACCCAACAATGAGCGTGCTCAGGGTCCACTCGGCTCCCTGCAGGATATCACTCTTTCTGTGAAGGGAAAATACATCAAAGTGATTGATTTCATTAGATTGCATCTCTGGTTCAAAAGACAATGACTGACTGGTTCGTATGGGTGTCGCATAGACAAATGTAGCTGGGCAGTGCTTCTCCCAATACACAAACTCTGCAGCCTCTGCAGTCAACACATAAAGAACAGACAGCTGCCCATCTATATTGACTTGTGAAAGGCTCCTGTGTGTGAGATGTGAGGAATAGATGGCTGATAGCACTTTGCAGTGTGAGTGTGTGAACGCGTGACGCTTCATAGCTACGGTGTGTTGTTACTGCAGCCGTAGATGGTGGAGGTGAGGCAGTGGAGCTTAGAGGGAAGGAGTGGCAGGCATCCTGTCTGGTTTAATGTCCTCACATAAGTCAGTCATACTGTATGTGCTGTACAGTATGAAGGGTTACCCCCCCCTCCCCCTCATCTGGCCTGGCTGCATGTTTGTTTTCCTTCAGCTGATCATTTCTGGTCAATTGAGCTGTTCATGTGCTGATGATGTGGAATGTAGTGGAAGACGAGGGTGGGGTGGGGGGGAGCAATGATTGAATTCAATCTGCCTTTCCATCTGTCCTCCCCCCTAAACAGGGAGACAGAATCTGCATGCTTACATAGAGCAGAGCAGGGAGCCTTCATCCCCCACAAGTCCACACAGAATCAGTTACTTTAGAGGACTGACACATAGAATTACTGTAGTTTATGTTTATGTAGAATTGCTGCTTTCATCATCTGATTTATGCACTTTTACCCCTTTTCACCCACTTTCTTCACCTCTCTCTCTCTCTCTCTCTCTCTCTCTCTCTCTCTCTCCATTCCTCTCCTCCTCCTCCAGGATTCGGACTCGCCCCGTCACTCCACAGCCTCCAACAGTTCCACCTTCAGCAGCCCTCCCAGTCCGGCCTCCCCACACAAGGCCAAGTCCCTGTCCCTGGAGAGCACAGACCGCATGGGCTGGGACACATGAGCCTCCGTCAGCCCCCCCCA